AGACAGGGTCTCACTATGTAGTTGAGATTGACCTGGAACTCACTGTGTAGCCCAGGCTGGTCTCAAACTCACAGTGATCCTCCTGCCTCAGCCTCCTGAGTGCTGGAATTACAGGCATGCACCATCACGCCCGGCTTTCCACATTCATTTTCTTCTGGGCTGTCACACATTCTGTCCCCTCTGCCTGACTTCCTCTTTCCATCCTCTTTGCCTGGGTGATGTTTACCTGATGCCTGCTCAGCTTTCCTATAAATGTCACTTTCTTTAGAAAGGCTTCCTTGATTTTTCCACAGCCTGGCTTAGGTGCTCCACCCGTGTGACCCTCAACACCCTGTATTCCTCCGTCCTAATCCATAATTCCATCATCTTGTTACTTTACTGCTTCCTCCATTCCATGCAGTGTTCTTGAGGGAAGGCATTCAATTTTATTCTTTTCATTCCTACCACTTAGCATGGAGCCTGATAAAGACAGATCCATATCCACTAAGTATAAGTAGCATTTAGTTTGACAAATATGTCTTTACTAAGTGCCTACTTTGTACAAACACTGGGAACGTTAGTGATGAAACAAACATGGTCACTGTCTTTTTGGCAGGGAGGTGATGCAGCAGTAACAAGTAAATACATAATTACAAACTGGAGGCAGGGAGATACAATAAAGAAACAAAGGATGTAATGAGAAAACACTTTTCTTGTAGGGGGGTGCTGAACTCAGGACCTTGTTCTTGTAAATAAGGGAGGTGTGGTGCCACGGAGTTAAATCTCCGGCCCAGGACACTCTTGACTGGGTGGCCAAGGAAGGGCTCCCCAAGCAGGGAACTTAAGCAGAGCTCTAGGGAATAAGAGAAAAATAGAAAGAATAAGAATGGGGAACAACAGAGAATCTGGGAGGAAAATCATTCCAGACTGAAGAAAAGCATATGCAGAGAATGAGTGGATCACGTGGTTGGAGCAAAGTAAATAAAAGCAAGAAGCGAGTTTGGGAAAGAAGCAGAAATGAGAGTATGAGGGACTTTGTAAGGCATATTTTTGTTTGTTTGTTTGTTGTTTTCTGGTACCAGGGATCAAACTCAGGACCTCACACTTGCAAGGCAGGTGTGGTGCAACTGAGCTAAATCCCCGGCCCCTGTAAGGACTGTTACAATGTACTTTTATCCCACTGTGAGAGAGAAAATGATGCAATTTACAAACAAAAATAAATTAGAGAGGTATTCTGGGCATGGTGGCATCTACCTGTAATCACAGCACTCTGGGAAGCTGAGGCAGGAGGATTACAAATTCAAATCCAGCCAGGGCAACTCAGACTTAGCAAGACTTGGCCTCAACATAAAAAGGCTGGGAATACAGCTCAATGTGGAAAAGAAAGAAGGGAGGGATGGAAAACAGAGTGAAGAAGGTGGGGGGGGCGTATTTTGGTAACTATGAGAACTGAAAAGGAGAAGAAGCAAGGGTGGACTAGGGGAGACCAGTTAGAAAGATGTGGGCACCGCAAAAAGGTTATCTCCAGATGTAACAAGTTCTGAGCCTGGAGATTTAATATCAGACAGCAGAGCAGGAGAAAGGGCAGACTGGATGAGGAGGCCAGAGGCAAACTGAACTTCTGACTGGTGAATGGGAGGGCTACAAGGGACAGCAGGCTGGTCTGCTCGGCCCCCTCTGAGGCAGCTGGCTGTCAGGCTCCGCCTAACTCCAAGCCCCAGAGGCTCGCCCAGCCTGTCACACAGAGGCGGGGATTGGGCTACATCCAGGGACCTACAGTTCCTCCCTCTTTTCCCCTTCCTGCTTCAGTTCCCCACCCAGACTAACTGGGCATACAGCTGCGAGGCCATAATCCAGCCTGAATCTAAGATTCCCTTCCTCTTCCTGGGCCCACCTCTCCCATGCCACTGTGCTCTAGAGAGCTGCCCTCAATAGGCAGTGGTTCAAGTGAACTATTTCTCACAGGAGACACTTGGAGGACCTTAGACTTCAGAGCTGGATTTTACCCTCCTTGGGCTGCTTTCTGATACCCTGTGTGCCTTGCCCCACCCATCTTTATAGTTCAGTTCTAAAGGCACCTCATTTCCTCATTCAGCATTTGCTAAACATTTCTGCTGGGAACACAAAGATAATTCATCACAGCTCAGCATTCACGGATTCCACAATCTAGTAAACAGGTTACTGCAGTGCACTGTGGTGAGGACCGTGATGGTGGGGCACACATTGCTCTAGGAGCACAAAGAAAGTTATTTAACCTAGGTCTAGAGCAGCAGTGGGCCCAGTAGTTAGAGGTGAAGGGAGTTCTCCTAAAGAAAGTCATATTCCAGCTGAGAAGGACAGGAGGAGTTAAGTTCCAGGGAAGACAGTGCCTTCAGCCTCAGTACATTGCGTCATACACTGTGACAGAGAGGGCTAACAGATGTGATACAGAGGTAAGCAGGAGCTACACACACAATGTTTTGTTGGCCTTATTCCAGAGTTTATGCTTTACCCGTCCCTGACGGGGAATTAAAGCTTTATCCAAAAAAGCAAAGGAAGAGTTTGGTGGTTGAGAGGTAGGAGAGTTTAAGCACAGTCTATCCAAAGCACATTTACTACTGTCATGTGGTAAATAGTTCAGAGGAGTCAAAAGTAGAAAGTGAAGCGTTAGCGTGGCTTCCCTCATGCACGATAGCCTGCTCTGCGTCCTCCAGGGTATACTTTTATCTTGCTTTTTCCTCTTTTACTCAGCCCAAACTTCCTCTGCAGAGTCAGGTTCACTCTTCACTTTTATATGTTCAAATAAACTTTGCTATCATTAAAAAGAGAGAAGTGGGCTGGGAATTTAGCTCAGTGATGCTGCACCTGCCTCACAAGTGCAAGGTCCTGAGTTGGATCCCCGGTACTGAAGAAAAAAAGAGGAGATTAATAAGGGGTTGCCTTGATTAGGTAAATAGCAAAATGAATTTCGCAGAGAGGAATCAACAGAACTTGATAACTGGTTGGTTTTACATAGCCAGAGGTGAAGGAATTAAGAGATGATTCCTAGTTTTCTAGCATGGAAACTAGAACAAGGGCAATCTGGATGAGAGAGTGACAGGTTCAATGTTTAATCCGATGAATGCAAGGTACCTACACAGCTCCAGTGGCCAGGTCTAACAGGCAGTTGGAAAGGAAGGCTGAAGCTTAGAAAAGAGGTCTGGCCCGGAGACATGATTTGGATGTCCCTGGTGTACAGATGGCTCCTGAAGCCATGCAGTGGATGACATCACCCAGAGAGAGTAAAGTGAGAAAGGAGCACCTGTGACTGAGCCCCAAGGAAAGGCGTTTAAGATACAGGTTCAGCAAGCATAAGAATACGGAGAAGGTATAGCCAAAGGGCAGAAGCAAGAAAGAGAGAAGGCCAAGGGAGAAGAGTTTCAAGAACAAGGGAGAGATTGTCACTATGAAATGCTGCAGGTATGGCCCATTATTTAAACCTGAAAAGAAGCTGCCCTTAATCCAGGAGCTGAAGAAAAGAAGTCAGATCCAAGGAGGTAAGAAAGAGGTTGATTTTGAACCAATAAAGAATGCTAGTGCTAACTCCACTAGATTCTTGACATTTGCCCCCCAAAAGTGTTTCACGGCCTTTCAATTTCTCCAAATTCTCAGATAGTATCTTATTTCCCACACAGCCCATCCTACATTTTTGTAAGACTCCCAAGATACATGATTTACACAGCAATGTGTGGAGCTGACCAAGGCATTTTTAACAGCGTATTTGGGAGTTCAGCTAGGTTCACTTGCTAAAATGACTCACTCCGACTCACTAACCTCCAGGTGTATTTGATCATTTGAAGCCTCAGCAAAATAACAAATGACTACAGGCTACAGTCTTTGGGCTCCCTCTGGAACAAAAGAAACACTTGCTGAGATAAAGTCCTCAAATCTAAGGCACTCTTTCAGTAAGAATGGCAGGAAAGGAGAGTGATGAAATTCGAAGTACCAATCTACCCCACTACTGCTTGACTGAGGATGAACAAACCATTCAATCAAACTTCCTTGGGTATACACTCTGAACCAAGACCTTCACCTGGGAACTGGAGACACAAAGTTGAATCAAGTGCATTCCCTGTCATTCACAAGTTCTTAGACTAGTGTGGGAAACAGAGGTATAAATATGTCAGTATAATAAAAGAAGAACTGTGATGTTGACATGTTCGAACTGCTGTGCCAAAAAGTATCTAACCTGGTAGAGAATAAAGAAGGCTTCCAAAGGAAGAGATATTTGAACTGGGTCTCAAGAGGAAAATATATGAGATGAATTAAGTACATTGGAAAAATAGTGTATAAATGAACATAAACACGAAAACTTAATAAACACAGACTAGTGAGGCAAGAGAGGAAGAGTCATAAAAGCAGAGGTTACAGTTGATGCTTTCATGATCTGCTCCACGTGGGTTCTCTGCTTAGCTCTTTGGTTGCTCCTCCAGTACACATTCCTTAAATATTTAGTTCTACAGTTCTATTTTGTTTTAGGGTCTCCTCTCCTCTCACTTTTCATACTTTACCTGGGAAAACTCATTTTTTCCCATGGTTTCAAATACCATTCAATTGCTGATAAGTCCCAAAGCCTTATCTCCTGTGCTTAAGGATTCTCTTACCCCACACCTGTATATCCAACTGGCTCTTGGACATCTCTATCTGGATGATGAACAGGGTCTACTTCATTCTGAATTCATCCTCCCAAACCCCCCTTTCCTGCTGTGTTTCTCACTTCCATTCGCCTTAGCCATACCGTCCAGAACACTAGTACTTTTCACTTGTAACCTTTCTTCCACCTTTCAGAAACAAGCTATGACTATATCCTTGATGCTGTCTCTAAAATGTGCCTAGGTTTTAAAAGCCAGGAAATTTAGGATCTAATTCTGACTGCCACTATGCACTAACACAAAACTGAGCAAGTTCCTACCCTATCCCTTACCTGTAAATTGGTGGCAAGGGGAGTTTTTTTTGTTTTTTTTTTTTTTCTCAAAGTCTGAGAATCTTGAGGCTCCCTTTCAAGCCAAGGGCCCCATTCACAGGCTAATTCGTGTCTATGATTAAATTGCAAGCGACACTACCTTGATGTTTTCTGATTTCTAGGTTCCTGCATAATCCTAGGTACACTTGAGGGTGATCACAGTTGCCCTCCCCTTCCAAAATAAATGTTTGTCACGTTTAAGTCACTCATGGCACTCTCTCTCAACACTCTCTACACCAGCCATATGGTTTTGCTTTTTTGAACAAACTGTACTACCCCAACTATGGCCCCTCTGTTCAAGTTCAGCAAGAATACCATTGTCCCCTAAGTGTCTGAGGAAATACATGGCACAAAGAAGATACTCAGTATATGTTGGTGACAGGAGAGCCTCATTTAAATCTGTGCATTTCCTCTCCTTAAATAAAGGCAAAAACAATAAAGTTCCAAGGAGAAAGACCTCAACTTAACATAAGGAAGCTTTCCCACAGCAGAAGGTAGTAAGTGCTCTGTCACTGGAGGCATACAAGCCAAGAGAGGCAAGGCACCTGTCAGGCCTGCAGCTCTGATTCCAATTCTGCAGCACACCAGAACCCTGCTTAGAGGATGAATAGGCAATGGTGAGCAGGATAATCTGGCAGGGGAAGACCTATGAAGAAGACGCTGCACGACCCCGCCCCCAAACACAGATCTATCTTTACTCTTGAATTTCTGAGGTCCATATCAGAAACCCCAACCTAGGAACATGCCCAGAGCCTGCAGTTAATTGGACTGACCTCCCTGGGGTGCAGCCTGCCCTTCCAACCTGCAACCATCTGTCCCTGCAGGTTTGCAGCCCAGGACACGAAGCCAAATCCAGGAGGGAGGAGGTCAGTACCAGGGAAGGGCCTAGGGTCCTCAGGGTGGGGGCAGGCTGTAGGAGAACTGGGGGGGGGGCTTTGCTACAAGAAGCAGAGAGTCTGCATGAAGCTTGCTGTCCAGAGAGCAGAGCAGCGGGGCGGGGGGGGGGTCTCCAGCCTGGCTGCTGGGCCTGTGGG